CTGCTAATCAACTTCTCAGAAAGAAATTTCGTGAGCAGAAACAGGATTTGATTGCTGTAGCTATGAAAGACAAAGAGTTGCAAAAGAGAGGAGCGCTGGATGTTAATCTTTTGCCAGAAAGAGAAGAAGACATCGAACATGCGCATAAAATAAGATATCATGAAAAAGGTGTGAAATAACGAAAATTTTGATTTTTTTTTTTCATAGTTTGAAGGTCATGTTCCTGAGCACATTGAAGTTCGAATCAGGCTCGAAACCTCTGTTTTAAATAGGGAGTCTCATTTTTTTTCCAAGGTATCTTTCAATAGTATTTTGAAGACTCTTTCGAACTTCAATATTCCATTTGTATTGTCATTGAAGGACAAAAAGCGCAGATATTCTATTGGTGATGAGAGGAATTTGATATAGTTTGTTAGTTTCTGCGTCTAGATTTCTCTTTCGATCATAATGATTTTCAGCTGCATAAAACGAACTTGCAAGTCGTGCTCTTATCTTAACTGCAGTAAATTCATTTCATTTTTCAAAATCAATGTAATTTTGTCTTCCAGGTTTTGATGGTCATCGCCGTAAGCGTCGTTCAGAAATCAACGACAGGCCGTTATTTGATACACAGGGAAAATTAGAGGAAAAAAGACAAAAAATTACGCAACTCCTCGGAAAACGGAGACAACTCAAGGTTAATTCTTTTTCAACACCTCCCAAGTCGAAGAACGAACTAACCACCCAAGAGACATTGGGTATTAAAGTTCGACGGACCAGGCTCAGTAATAACGAGAGCTCAGACAATAGTACTAATAAGGAACCTTGGATTGATGACCTCTCGAATAGTCCCACTGTGAATCAAACAGTGGTTTCTTCTGAGCTAGGATCACAGAGAGACCCTGAGTTAGCTGTAAATGTAGCATCTGAGACAGAACTTCCTGTAACAAGTCTCCCGGATGTGACGTCACAAAGCATCTCTTTAAAACAAACACAGAATTGCCTCGCAAATCAACCAAAACAAAAGGAAACTCACTGTACACCAGATGGAAGAACTGAAGATTCAGCGCTAATTAGTAGTTCTTCCATTAGTTCCTTAGTTTGCTGTGATTACGCCGACTCTAGTGACGCTTCGGATGATCATACATGACAAGATACCGAAATAATGCAATCAGTTGGATATCGGTTGAGTAATGCATCCATGGTGTCTGGCTTTAATGATGCAATTAAACAACAACTGTCCCAGAGAATGAAAGTGCACCGGGCTAATCAAGACTTTTTCGCCTTAAATAAAGAAATTTGGTTTCTCCTCCAATTTTCTCCTCTTCTGAAAACAAAACAAAGCAAAATCAAAGCTGAGAAGTATTCGAGCGTCAGCGACCCATTTACTTCTGCTAGCAATCTTTACTACGACTCCACAACTCATGATGCAAAGAGCGTAGGATATTTTTGCAAATCGAGTAACCTATAACTCGTTTTCTGTACTAGACTTATCTACGAGTTAAAAATGGCGCGCGAGGAGCAAAGGCGTCTTAATGTATACGTTACTTCTGGACAAATAAAAAACCAATCAGAGTAGAAAGTCACACATGTGGCTACTATTGGCGTTGGATTTGCATTTTTATCGCGTTCGTCAATTATTTTGTTTTGTCTCAATAGGGTTTTGTTTTAATCGGTTTGCTTTAAATGAGTTTGTCTGTGTTTGTTATGTGGGTTTCTAGCGATATGTAAATATTATTTGTGGAAGAAGGCTGGTTTCGTATCGCGAGACTTTATTTACAGTTGATGCCGTATACAAATGTCCTATACTTTACTGACGTGGAATCAGCTAATTTTGAATGCGGTCAGTTTTGAAAACTTGATATTTTTCATCTATTTGTTAGACGATAATTGCATGTGGAATTTTTTATTACAAATGTTTCATACAGTACAGACGTTGAATTAGCTAATTGTAAATCCGGTCAGTGCTGACAACTTTATATTTTTTATCTATTTACGAGACAATTATAGCAAGTGAAATTTTTAATTGAAATGCTTATATTATTACTGGTCAAAGAGCTGCAATTTTGAATATTCGTTGAGGGTTTCGAGACTTATTTCATACCCACAATTTTTTAATTTCTGGAACAATTGTACCAAGAGAATAATTCGCTTCATTCAACTTAATCCTTACTAGTAATTATGACCTCTCACTCGAGTCTAAATCTGAAATTTAATATTTGTATATTTTGAAGATTAAAGTTATAACACAGTAAAAAGTAATAACGAAAAATATCCTGTACCTTTAATGTTCATTTTAAGATTTACCCCGAACATTCAAACTGATTTACAGCGGATCATTTTTCCGACCCCTTTTCGAAACAATCGACTCTGAATTGAATATAGAATAGGATTAACACTAGCGCTGATTAATACCAAACTAAACATGATAAGAAACATTCTGTCGTTAATTTCGTGAACGGCACCGATTAAAAGAGAACCTTGGAGAACCGCCCATGGTAACCAAAATATGTTAAAAGCAACGATAACACTGAAGACGACTTTTGTAATACGTTTCCGCGATTTAGTCAATATTTGTCCTTCTTCGCGATGCACCGGGCGCCAGCAACGGCACCACAGATGTTTGATGACTTCCAGTGAAGTTCGCAGAATAATCGCCATTGGTATAACGTAAGAAGCTATGAGATCAATAAAAGCAATAACTTTAAAACTGTCTGTATCCACAAGAAACTTAAAGCAAAGCGGCGCAATCGATTTTCCTTCAAATCTGTTCGGAATTTTTGCCATAATAAACACCATTGGAAGACAACATACCACAGCTACCAACCAAATAAGTAGAAGGACGATTCGTATTTTCGTCTTTATTGAAGCTCCTCTGTGCTTCCAAGGATGAACTATTGCATAAAATCTGTCCGTTGAGATAGCAGCTAGAGTAAGAACAGAAATTTTCGTGGTTAAATCAATGCTTACAACAGTTACCTTGCAAGCAATGCCCTCGAAGTCAGATTGTGTACGATCTCTGTCACTGAAATAAAGATTTCGAATTTTCCCCGCGTAGAAGAGAGCCACAAACAGTAAGCACGACAAGTCAGATATGGCTAAATTGAGGAGAAGATAGTTGAATGAAGTCCTCAGTTTTTTGTTTGTGATAATCAGGCAGCAGACGATGAGATTTCCAGTCGATCCTGCCAATATTATAACTGGCGTAACAAAATCAAAAGCTTTTAAATCGGCGTTCATCGACATTCCCACCGCGCCGTATGGATCCACCGGGAATAGTATTCGTAAGGCGAAAACAGAGTGTTGAATATAAATATGATAAACTGAAGTTTTTACACAGAGCTCATCTGGGTTTTACGAAGAAAAACCACATAAGAAAATCTTTGGTAAACACCGATTGTACAGTGGTACGCAAGTTTACAAATTATATTCAGAGGTTTTCATTTAATTAACATGTGGACGAGAACTTTATTTTTAAATTCCATTAAAAAAGCCTCCAATTAAAAGGGAAATTGAAGAATGTTGGTTTAGACTTCTATCAGATAATCTCATTTTAGGTGCAGATGTTACTATCTCGATATGATTTTTTAGGAGTCTCCAATAAAAACAGTTGCGTTTCCAGTCGAAGTAATAACATGATTCTACTTTGTTCTTTCTTTGTGCTTTTGCGTTTTTTTTTTTCTTGCTATGACGAAAAAATAATCGTTCCGTCCATTTTAACCTTTTTTGAAGTAAATCAATCTTGATGCTCAATCCACGAGACAACGAGCTAATAATAGTGTGCATTAAGACTCTGGAAGCTTAATCTTAATAACCTAAGGCGCCTCAATTTCCTCCCTTACTAAGATGTGAATCTTATTTTCATAGACACTGCGTAACACTGGCAAAGAGGATAGCTGAAAATGTGTTTCCACTTTGATCATGAAGCGTGATGTCACGTAAATTTATGATAATTACGAAATTCATTACATCTGATTGGTCTTTTGCAAGCCCCCAAAAAGCCTTCCTTTCACAGCCTGGGATTAATTTGAGCCGCTTTACGATCAGGTTACCAGCAGATCAGTCAGTCAACTGGGAATTGGGTTCTTTTGTTATGTGTATAATGTGTAATCGTTCGAGGTTTCTCCTTTCAATTATTAATTTTTTTGTTGATTGAGATGAGTCAGAGACTGTTGAAACTAAGCGCCAAGGAACACTGAGACAAGCGCGTTTTGCTACGATTTTTTTTTCGTTTGTTTGTTTGTTTTTTTTTGTCGTAAACCTACTTAGGCACTTGAATAGATCTTTGCAGGATTCGTAAGACCTTAATGATCAAATGCATCGTGTTCCTCCTTAAACACGTTTCCCTTACATCGAATAGAGGAGAGTATTGATGTCTATTTTAAAAATATATTTTGTATGTAGGCAGCTGGTTTTCAATAAAATCCACTTATTAAATGTAGTGTCTCCTAATTAGTGTTCCAGCCAATCTAAATAAAGGAAAATCCTGAAAGGAGCCAATCAGAACTCAAAGGGAAAACAAGCAATCTACCAAAAGCGCGGGAAAAAGAGCCACAGTGAGCAAGTCGCGATTGATTTTATTTTTGCATCTGATTGGTTGAGAAAGAGGAGCGAGTTCTTCAGACCAATCCCGGATGGAAGAGTAGCAAAACCAATCGGGCTCCTTTCAACACTCAGTGGAAATGTTTCATTTAATACGCACTAGGAATTTTTTTTTTTTTTTTTTTTAATACTGGAAACTGAAGTTCATCTCGCGCCCCTGTCTTTCAAATCAGTATTCTGCTCATTTAAACACTCTATTCTTCTATTTGAACGATTGGAGAAGAAATGGAAATTGATATTCAAACTCAGAAGAGATCCGTAATCGATTGCGAAGGCAGTGCTATCAGTTGTTCAATCAACAGATGTTATCTACAGAACAGAGTGATTAAGTGACTAAGCTATATCTTATCTCTGCCATTGCGGTGATGTTCAAGTTTTATCGATCCTCGCTGGTGCTACAAATTTTCCCATAAGGTGGTCAAATAAAAATTTGAGATCACCAAAATAGAGCTGAAAATGGAAAATTGAAATTGAAAACTGAGTGCAGCTTGTTACTTACAAAAGTATCAAACGAAAGTTCTGATGATCACCAGATTCTGTCTTGTTATTTAAGGACAGGATTTTATGCTTCAAAGTTCAAGTGACTTCACTAAAAAAATATAAATTAATTTCTTATTGGACCTTAAAATAAACACCATTTGACAGCTGAAGAAAAATAAACACACAGAGCTTGATAATTCCAGTTGATTGCTCAATTCTGCAATTAATTTCAACTTCTTTAACAGCCACGTCGAAACAGTGAACTCTGTATGTATACATATCTATTGATAAAAAGACAAACCACTTCTGTTTTCATTTTAATTGGAGACTGATTTTGAATCGCAATGTAAATTAGGTCTCCTTTTAAATGCAAATTTAGAGTGACTTTCGAGGATCAATCGCATAATAATCTCCTCTTTTGATAGAAGGGAAGTGCTTCCTTAAAATAATCGCTAATTTTTCTGATGTAATAATCCTTGTTCGCAAGAAGATAACACTCAGAGGACTTCATGATCAGCTGGTAAAGTTATCAGCATGTCGCTGAAAGATTCAATAGCTTTTGAAGTTATTACGCCAGTTATATTATTGGCAGGGTTAACGGGAAATCTATTCATCTGTTGCCTCATCATCACAAACAAAAAACTGAGGACTTCATTCAATTACCTTCTCCTCAATTTAGCCATATCTGACATGTTATGCTTGCTATTTGGAACCCTCTTCTACGCGGAACAAATTCACATTCGCTATTTCAGCACCGGAAAATTTTCGCCAACTGACCTCGAGGGAATTGTATGTAAAGTAACTTTGGTGGGTATTCACTTCACCACGCAAATTTCCGTTCTTACTCTGGCTGCTATTTCGAAGGACAGATTTTACGCCATAGTTCATCCGTGGAAGCATAGGAGAGCTTCGAAAAAGAAGAACACCCGTATTTTGATTGCAGTAATTTGGCTGGTAGGGGTAATTACATCTTTGCCGATGATGCTACTCGTAATGAAAATTCCGAACAAGTTTCAAGGAAAATCCTTTCCGGTTTGCTTAACTTTTCTCTTGGAAACTGGAACTCACAGCTTTAAAATCAAAGTAATTGCTTTTATCAATCTCATTGCTACATACATAATACCGATGGCGATAATACTGCGAAGTTCACTGGCTCTTATAAAACATCTATGGTGCCATTGCTCGCAGCAGGAGGGAGAGCAAATTCTCCTCAAAACGCGAAAACGTATCACAAGAATTTTGCTCAGCGTTATTGTTGCTTTCAACGTATTTTGGCTGCCATGGGCAGTTGTAGGGGGTTCACTCTTAATCGGTGCTGTACGAGAAATCAAGGACAAATCGATGGTAATTATGTTAAGTTTGGTTTGGTCGAGTGCAAGCGTTAATCCAATTCTCTACTCTCTTCAAAGTCGATCGTTTCGAAAAATGGTTGGAAAAATGCTTCGCTGTCACTCGGGTTGAAACTTTAATCAGTTAAAAAATGAAGGGAGAAAAACAGAAAACGAAGTTATTATTCTTTCAGATTATATGCTGACATAAATATTCGTGTTCAGATTAAGTGTCGATTTGGACCAAATAATTTAAAACATTTGAAGCAAAGTTTCAGTGGGTTGCTATTTTCCTCCTTGAGAATAGATGTCAAGAGTGTGACATAAAAGCTTAATTCTAAACCATTCAAAATAAATGTCATAAATTATCGAAATTTTGCGTTCCAATTTTTTTCAGAAAAGCGTTATTGTAATACTGCAAACCTACAGCTGGCTGAAAATAACGCATCAATGTAAATGAGAAATAATGATAAGTAAATAAATACGTTGAAAACGGGTGATATCGTCAGGTATATCTCGACAATGAAATTTGGATCCAGTAACGTTAGGATGGCTATTAGGATAGGCAAAGTTCAAGCAAACGAATGAAAACACGAAGAAAGGAAAAAGATGAAGAAAACAATGCAAACGAAAAAGCAAATGTAGGCCATCAAGTTGCTGGCCATTGACAGCTGGTTCGGTCTTTTTAAACACTATCTGATATCAGCCTTGCCTTTCATAATTCTCAGGACAGGAGCACCATTCATTTTAAGAACAGTCTGAATTTGGGCTACCTGTGGTGAGCCCTAGCAAGATGGTTTACGTTACGTCACTTTTCAATGATCTCTCAATTTTTTTCATCTTAACCTAAATATCTTTAAGAAAGCAATTACAATAAAACAGAGAAGAAATAATTGATCTAAATCGCTTTTGTGCGTGCGAGAGAGATTCGATATACTTATTAGAGGTATAAGAATCCTGGCTATTTGAGCACTCCGGAAACATTGATACCCTACGAAAAATGTATTCATTAACAAAAGAAATTTGTGATCAGCAGTGCAGGAAATGAAGAGAAACCAGGTCGCTTCGCCTGCAATTTGTTAAATCTTCTCTTAACTTTTCTTTACTTTTGCAATTTTTTCATAGTGTTGTTATGATGGCAAGTTTAATTTATTCTGAAATTTGAGATATTTGTCTTAGCGGCACATGTGATGCTAAGTTTAGCGTGATATTCCCCTAGCTATAGATAATGTAAAATTTGAATAACACAAGTGGTTAAAAAATCGCATCTTTGCTGTTTCGTGACCCATTGTTTATCTGAACTCTTTGTAACCGAAATCGTTAGAAACAAAATCAAGAGCTATTTCTTTCCTACTAGCTTCGTCATTTGCGAATGGCTGTGAAGTTATCGAGATAGGGAATCAGTTTTGACAGTTAGATATCAAATTGACCCGGATTAGCGTTTATTTACAGACGTTTTGCGGTCGTTTTGTTTTTCACGGAAGAGATCGTATGAACGGAATGGCATTGGGCTGTTTCAAATGTGTGATGCCTTCTAAAAGCTGTGCGGTGAATCTCTTTGTGGTAGTCTTCGTGTCGGTTTCGTTCGAAGTTACTGGATTTGTAGGTAAGTTGTGGTAACATCACAGTGGCAGTTTTATAGCTTGACTGACGATAACTGAGCACATTATAAAAAGCCTTCGCGGTTGAAAACTTTCAACTCAGTCACGCTTCGTAACGAAACTTATATCGATCTTTTCGGTATTATTTCGATAAACTTCTGCTTTTGCACCAATGAAACAAATCTACTACTGAAGTAGATTGCCAAATTTTACTTTCCGTCAGGTTTCATTACCGAAAGGAGTTGATTTGATGTGGAGCCACAGCGACACTGTAAAAGATAACATCGTGAGCATATTTAACGGAAATATATTTGTGTAATAGTTGGGCATGTATGACCACAACAGACCCATAGTGATTGTTGATAACTTCTGTTCAACAAACTGACACCGTGTAATCACAGAGTATGTGTAAAAAGTTGTGACATAGGCACCAAAGGACTTTTAAAAATTTTTATCAACATTTTTTAAATTTTTATTTTTTTAGAAGGGCTTCGCTAGAACTAACGTAAATATATTTGAAAAAAAGCATATAAAAACCCGCAAAAATTCAGAGTTTCATTTTTGCCGCTCTACGTTTAAATATTGCGAACGCCACTCTCATGATTTCCGCATGTTACATCGAGCAATTCGTTTATATTCTATCAGTACGCTAGCACGACTCTATTGAATGGTTATAGAGAGTAAGTGACGACATGATATGACGCCAGTAGCGTGAAACAATACAATCTGTATACTATAATTTCAAAATTCATTTCTTGAAATAAGCGGGCGTTATTTAGGCAAGTCGATGAATAGGTTTTCGGTCGAATATGCTTCTTCACTTGAATCTTTTTATGCTTAAATGAAACAGTTTTCCCTTTGACTTGCGAACGGTATGAGATGATCTCATTGAATGCAGGTGACAGACGACATAAACTCATGAATGATAAACAACGTCATTCATTGTATATATTATTTTATCTCATACATACTGAGATTTACGATGAAGAGTACTTCTTTCGTTTCTCTGAAAAAAAACTCGTTCGTTCGGTTTTTTCGATGCATCGCAAGTTATGAATAAAAAAAATCGTTTGAGCACATTTTCCATGGAAAATTTACTATTTTTGCATGCCCTCTCGTCTCGGATATGTCATATTCGATGGACTAACAAGTCAATGAATTTTCATGGATCGAACACCCAAATATTTCATGGAGATTGTAAGGTTGATGAATTAACAGAACAATTTATGTTTTCTCGTGAATCAGTCAAGGAGTAAAAGGTTCATGATAAAATCAATTGTTTTAAAAAAAAATTATTTAGCAGCACTCTAATTGTGCATTTGTGCAATGTTTGACTTTGTGGTGACAATCTCGCTACCTGCTACACAAATGCATTTTTTATTTCACTCTTGAATTTCAAATATGTTTTGGAGTATTTATAGCTAAAATTGAAAACTGTTTCGTGGTTTCGTTTCCGTAAATTATTTGCTACAAATGACATTTAGATAATTAGTGGTAGACCTTTTGTGAGATTAGGTGTTTAACGAGCTTCGAACCAAATATCTTTTAAATCAATTAACTGTTCATTGTTTAACTATCAGAATGTATGGCCGATTAGTTACCAATATTTCAGCTGACTTATTGCATTAGTAAACAATATGGCCAAAATAGTATGACGTGACCTTCAAGCGCTGCGTCACGATAAATTCGGGCATTTTGTCACGCAACGTTGCATGCCATCCAAACGGCGGCGCCTTTTCCTCCTCAATGGTTGTTTTTTTTTTTGTTTTTTTTTTTTTCTTTCATTTTTTCTATGAGGTAAACGAAAAGTTACGTGCTTTTTCTTTCCTCCACTTTCGTACATCGGTAACAATCTGCTTTGGATACTTCTTGTGAGAAATCCATTAATTGTAAAATTGGTAACGCAACGTATGTTTATTTTTTTAGTTGAGAACTGTCAGCCATATCGATTTCTACCTTTCAAGTAAAACAATCAATTAATTAATAATCTAGCTTATATTTATTTTATTTTACGTACAGGCTTACCAGAGCCAATTGCTCTTTATCCACTCAACAAACAGCATGGTACAAAGGACATAAGCCGAGCGAACAACCCGTCAGGAATTGCAAAGGGTGTTTACCTTTTCACAGGATATTACGGGCAACCCGAGGGATCTTACCACTTCTCCGGGTCATCAGCCAGTTTTTTGGAGTTCCCAAATAACGGAGGCCTTGATGCTAAGTATTCTATGACATTGGTGGCCTGGATCTACCCTGAAATCTCTAAAGGACCTCTGTTTAATTACAAAGTTCAAGACAGAGGAGTGTATTTATGGTTAGAGAGTCCTAACAGACTTGTTGCAAAGTTTGAAATGCGTGATTCTTTGCAACCTTACGCAATCCAGAGCGACAAAATTCGGCTGAAAGCGTGGAATTATGTAGCAGCTTCGTACGATTACTCTGCTGGAACTGCCGGATTGTGGATCGACGGGAGACAAGTGTCTCGTTTGAGTATGGGAAGTTTTAAGATATCCACACAAGATGACGTGAGAGTGGGTGCATTAAAGGGTGATTCGAATTTCTACAAGGGTGCCATTGCCTGTTTACAGGTTTATAACAAGTCACTCTCTGAGCAGGAGATAAATGATGTTAGAGATAGGTGTCCGCTCAAAGGTAATGCCTTAAAAATTATATTCCGCTTTTTCCAGTGTCTCTTCAGATAGAGGTGAAAGACGGAATATAGAAAAATGCGATAATTCCAAGTTAATTCTTGTAATATTTATAGTCATCTGTGACCTATTACGGAACAAACACACGGCAACGCGGAATTTTGTATTTGTCTAACAGAAAAGAGGCAAAGTGGAAGCTATTACATTATTACTTGATAGGCTGAGTTATATATCCATTTTGATTGGTTCTTGGGTATGATCAGGAGCCCATTACTTGTGCTCCTGGTATGATCTATTGTGGACAGACGAATCAGAGTTCAAGATATATCTAAGTAAGAAAAAACCTGACAAACTGTGCAGTGAGTAGTAACACTTGGGATAAATAGTGCTTGCGATGTTTCCTTTTTTCACAGTGCAGTTACATCATGTCGGTTGCTATGCCCACAAGCCGTCATCACCAGCAATCCCCTCCTTGGAAGGAAAAGATATCTTACTAGACGGCGAGCCTAAAACAAGAGAGGACGCCGAACAGAAATGTGCCCGTGTTGCTCTTAAAAATGGCTACGGTTATTTTGCAATTCAAGATGGTGGAAGCTGTCTTTCAAGCCTAACAGCGCAAGAAACGTATAGCAAGTACGGACTGTCAGCGGAATGCCAGAATGGGAAAGGCTCCGCAATGGCCAGTGATGTATACGAGGTTGTGATGTTTAGTAAGTACATGGCCTATTTTATGCTGCCATTCCCAGATCCACTTCTTCATCTTCGTTATTTTTTCCCTTCGTCACTTCACTACTCTTGCTAATTCTTTTTACTCTGCACAGTTTGGTCAATCTTTTTCTACGTTATGTGATCCTTTCATTCTTCGTTTCACCATTTTAGTCTTTCCTTCTATTTTTCCATACCTCCATCCGGCTCTTTTTTTTTTCCTTCCTTTTTTCCATTATACCTTTATCGTGCTGTCCCTTCATCTTTTCATCTTTCGTCTCTCAGTCTCTTCGTGCCTGGATATTTTGAACAGTTTCGTTTCAAGGTGCTTTTGTTACCCTTTTACGCTGGTCCCATCTTCACTTGTTACAATAATCCCCTGTTCACAGGCGATCAAACCTGTTGGAACGGATGGCAAGCCGTTGGCGACTCCTGCTTCAGACTTTATGACGACAAAAGAACCTGGGACGAAGCCCAGGCCGTGTGCAAAACAGAAAAGGCAACTCTAGCCAAGTTGGATACGGAGGAAGAGAGTTACTTCGTTTTTTTAAACCTGATAAGGCCAACCAATCCAAGCTCGAGCGTATGGATTGGGTTATCACGTGATACGGAGAAAAAATTTCATTGGTCGGATGGATCTTTGGTGGGTTACACTAATTGGGGTCCAAACCTTCCAGACACCTCCCCTGGTAACAGAAAGAATTGTACAAAAATGAATGAATTTTCGGGATTGTGGGAAAATGAGGAGTTCGACTTAAAACATCCCTTTGTTTGCGGTCGAGGTGAGAGAAAATAGCCTTCAGCTTGAAAGTCAAGTACTAATACTTTAAACCATATTTTGCTCTAAGTCGCTGGGTCGTCATTGTAAGCGAAGCCACGCCTATTTGTGCTCATCACTTAATTAAAAAATCTACACGCCAACGGTATTAAACATGAGCGGGACAATGCATATTAGAGAACGTAAACTTAAAAATAAAGTCACAACAAAGAAAAATACTTACCTTAACGGTGCATAGCTTTACGGGCAAAAAACAAAACTGACGACGCTTCTTCTTAAAAAGTGGACGAAGATATTGATATACAGGACTAAATTTAAACACAAAACTCGACAAATTACTTGACATAATTACGTCATATTACGGAACGATCTAAACATCAACCACAGCTGACACAATATAACTGATGAAACGTACAAACGCTCGCAGATAATTAACGCGTAAACGCAATTCCTATATGACAATAAGTTATGCAGTAACAGTGATTGAGCCGTCACGTTCGTTGAAACATAACTTGAGTCAGATGGTGCGATTACTAGAGGCAGGGGACAATATTACTTTGTGCAAGTGAAGTGGGGTGAGTTGTAAAAGAATAGGCAACTCGTTGAATTGAATTTAGACTCCTCACACCCCTATACTGAGGATAAATTTGTCCCTTATCTTTCCAAAGGTAAGCGATAACCTTATGTTTAGGATCCCTATTCTTCCCATCACGAAGAGAGATTTCTGGACAACAATTTTTGCCCCGTGACTTTACATCGCAAAAAGAGGTTTGATTATCATCTATGCGTCTAGTGACGCCATAAAAAAATGTCCTTAAAGTGGCTTAAAATTGGTTTCTTTGACATTTTCAGTCACTCCTCCCACTCCACGTAATATTCACGTGAAACTAATGGACAGCTGGTCGGCGCTGGTCTCGTGGTCAACTTCCGCGCATCCTCAGCAGGAAGATCTGGTGACGTCATTCTACGTTGAGTACAAAGTTACCAATCACGAGCAAGTGTCACTTAAAGTTGTGCAGAATCACAATAGTACCAGTTTAACCGGTTTGCAGTCAAACGCTGAGTACCAGATAAGAGTCCGAGCGGTGAATGGAGCTGGTGGTGGAATTTGGAGTCATTATCACACTTTTTCAACTGGAAAAACCTGTAAGGTTTACTTACAATAAAAGGAAATGTTCAGATGGTAGATTGCTTGTCTAAAAACCCGTTAGTGTGAAAGAACTTATCAGAAACAACGATTGATTAAAGAGTTAAAGATCATGGGGAGGATATGAAAATTTGTATAGAATTTAAACTCGTTGTTTCAAGAATAAGAAAAGTGACGAGGTTCTTTAATATTGTCGGGCGACAATTTAGTCCACTTTCTATAATCCATTAACAAAATTCTCCACTTTACATCGACACTATCTAAAATTTGAGGTCCCTTAATTATTCGTAATTATTCCTGTCATTTGTAATTATTTCCATATTCGTAATTATTCTTTCTTGTTTCAGATCCTCCTCGAATTGTCCCTATGGCACCTATAAGAGCCAAAGTCCCAGGGGAACCTCTTGCTCTGAATTGTGCTGCCCAAGGTGGTCCTGAGCCCACAATAACCTGGTACAAAAACCGCAATGTTGTTTATCAAGGACAGACATTGGTCGTTGCAAATATGACGTCAGTGGAACAAGAAGTGTATACGTGCAGAGCTAGTAATGGCATTGAGCCAGATGACGTCGAGTCAGTTACAGTAATATCATTAGGTGGGTAAAATTGTTTTGGCTGTTTTTCTTCGTATTTGAACTGAAATCTATCGTAGAGTTATCGCTGTCTCTGTTATTAGAGCATGTGCTCACTCCACGACCACTAGTTATTAGTTAATTCGAAATTCTTCCGTAGTCCCTCCGGTCCTGAGTCAGATGTGGGGAGCGGGAAATGAAGGACAGATTTCCATTGAAAAAGGAGATCATTTGTCGTTGCACTGTGAAACAGCTAATACGACATTTGCTGACATTACGTGGTACAAGGACGGGGAGCCTCTATATGGTCATCGGTCCAAATCAGAAAACATCTTTAATATACCAGAAGTCAGCGGTGATAATTTCGGAGTGTACGAATGTGAAGCCAGAAATAACCTGGGAACGACTTCTATGAAAATGAGGGTCTCGAATGGTGAGCACAATAGGTTTTTTTTTTCTTTCCGTGCTTTGACAAGTCAGACAATAATGTGATCTAAATTGAATACTGAGATATCAGTAGACAAAGCGCGAGTTTTGCCACAAACCTTGACGCCTTACGAGAGTATTTTACCAAACAAAGAACGTTGCAGTCATGAAATTAAGGAAGATTATTGAGGTGGCACGTTTGTTGTACTTTGATCAAGATTTTGAACCCGTTCACCTTGTGATCCTCGTAATTAAAAAAGGGCATATTTATGAACATTTACTGCTTGCCGTGGTCCAAGATTAAAAATCAAAGAACTCTTGAAAAAAATTGTTTTCAAATGCGCTGTATTAAACGAAAAATTCTCATTTACTTCTTATGTATGTGTTGACCTCAAGTTTTGTTTTTCTACTTCACTTAGCTGGCCGCTTAAACCAGATGAAAGTTGCGGTTGGCTGCCTAGCTGGATTTTCTGTTGTTCTTGTCATCATCATTGGAGTATTAGGGAGGCTGCTGTACAAGGCCAGGAAAACCATTGAAGCTTCACGAGAGGAAGATGAGCAGGACGAGGAGCCGCCAATCAAACCACCCGGTCCTAGGCCCTCTGACAGTGACTTTATGATCCCTGAAGTGCGATCCGCTGGCTCGCCGGATATGGCTGGCTCACTTGGCTGTAATTCATCTTACACTCCTCTCAAACTGGGTTCATCCAATGGGGGTACAAGTCAGACGTACAGAGCATAGTGAAAATTATACATTAAAATTACTTTTTATGACTCCAATACCAGACTCCTTCGCAGCTGTTATTGTGATTGTCACACAATACTCAGATAACGTTGCGTGACTAGTCATGAGCAGCGATGACAGATGTTGACTAGACGATCATGTCTTACTGACAGAGTGACTCAAGTCAACAACAAATAACAGCACTGAACTTTTATAAAAAAAAAAAAAAAGAAAATATCTTAGAATGGCTTGTTAAAACGCTTCGTGGGAAAGAAACGCCCTAGAGAATGTAATCACTTGTAAATTCGTGTTAGAACAATACCTCCCACCTAAGCCAGATTTAAAATTGCCTGGAGACTATGCAATGTCCCTCATTTACACAATAAAGGAAGCCCTCAATACATGACCTAGACCCCTTAAATAGATTTTAACTTCAACTGGTGCTTGATGCCGAAAGTGCCGCCACTGATATTGCACAAAGTTGAACGGAAGATCCAAAAATGAGAAAGATCATAATGACAAGGATGATTAAACTCCGTGGTGGGGAGGTTTAGCATCATACAAGAAAGAGAGCCTGTGGGGTAGCCTTTGATTCGTCCGAGGACTCCAGAAGTCCTATATTACAGAGAGCTGATGCTGAACGTAAATGTTTGACTCTAGTGGAATAGCCGCTCTTTTCCATCAGATTGAAGGCCGGGAAAACCGAAAAAATGAGTAAAAATAAGAATCTCCGCTCCTATTTGTTCCCACTTTTGCACCGGTAAATTCATAAAGTGTGACATCGCTCGTCACCTCTAGTTACGGCCCTTCGATGTGTTTGTATGTATATGAGTATACAAGAGTATCTATTGAAAGAAACCTTTTTTTTTCTTTTATCGTGGTGAATTTAATTTTCCGTCAGAAGCTTTAAACATATTTACAGAAACTTAAACCTCGACAAAAACCAGTTTTTCTTCGTAAACTTTCTCAAAATTTGATTGACTTGAAACTTTACTTAAAAATTGCTATTTGCTACACTGACTAATGGTTAGTTATTGTGTAATTGGCTTGACTAGTAATATTATCACTTTTTTAAAAATAATGGCATATGAAGTTTGTTCTAAAAACACTTAACTGTTATTAAGAGTACATTAAACACTATCCTGTCTCATAATGCTAAACGGACATGTTAAATGAGCTTTTTTACAAAATATTTTGCTTTGTGTATCGATCCGAGTTGTCCTTCACAAATAATGTTCTCTCACTACGGGCTGGCGATTTATCGTTCCTAGCCCTCGCCCTACTTAGTCCATCACATTATCAGAGGGTTAACATGACTCATTCCTATCACGGTGCGATGGGCACTGACCAACTTCCAAAATCAAATGTCACGTTGTCACCAATTAGCATGAACGGAGCCCAATCAGAAACTTTGTCAAAACCGTTATTTCTCATCCACCTTCTGGCCTCGTGAAGAGATTCGCTGGCACTTTCACCACGGAACAGATGTTTGTAGAAGCAAGTCATGAACTGCTCTGTGGCTTCGTCGTTCAGGGCCCAGCGTGCCGCTAACACAGAGCGCGCGCCGGATCCTAAGAAGGCTCGAGCGATTCCGATCATTCCTTCGGCTTTAATCTCTCCCTTACCACTGTGACAACAACTAAGTACCACCAGTTTAGCTCGCAGCTGGATTTTTGAAATGTCCACCATTGTTAAAAGGTAGTCTTTTTCTCGTGGAATAGAGAGCGACGGGCGCATAGGAGAAAGAGCAATCTCCCCTCTTTCGGAACAACCATGGGCGGCAAGATGAATCAGACTCACTGAATTTATCTTTTGAAGTACAGCTTGCTTTTTCGCACGGTTTCCAATCAAAGGCGTTACGCCAAGAAGTCTTCCAATCATCTCTGCTTCCTTTCTTGCGCATGGCAACGCTGTCATTGTCTTGCGTCTTCCGTTATGAATCACTTCTCCAACCTCAGGGTCACCCACTATCAGCGCACCTGTTTGACTATGATAGTCTGGAGGACTGTCCTGAATGCGCTTGAGGGTCGTCAAAGAGGGAACGATTCGGAGGCGGAATGTCTCTGATAAATACTTGTTACCTTCGTCACTTAGGGCTGCAAATGGTACTTGGTACATACAAGAGTCGGGAACAATTATAATCTCGGGCTCCTTAAGAAGATTAGCCACAGGAGCAATGATTATCTCGTAACATAATTGGAGATTCGCTTTGATATCTTTGGCATTATAATCGCGTGGAGCTGGGCGGCTTTCATGGCGAAGTGACATCGATTGGGTGTCATCTAGAGATCGATCCTCGTAATTCTCTTGAGGTAAAATGCCAAGGCTGCGAAAGCTGTCTTTCAGGAACTCATCTAAGTCAGGGACTAATCCGGTCACCGAGTTTGCTTCAAGGCCCACCTCTTTTTCGGTAAAATGAATAGCTCCCGTTGCTTTGAGAATCCAAAAACGTGCATCTTCTTTCTCTACCGAAACGTACAGGCATGCACAGCGTACCTCCCTTGTGATAATTTCCTGAATGCCACACCAGGATTGTGGATTCCCTGAGATCTGCTCTTCAATAGAGTACCGAGCTGCCATCAAGTCAGCCAGGCCTCTCGCCCGTCTCAGCTCTTCGACATAAAGAGAGTCTTTTGGTTTACCGGCAGAACAAAGCATCACACTGAGCAACTTGTAAGGAAAGGTGCCGTGCTCCTCTAAAAAGGATGTTTTGAATTGATCGTTGTCGTCCAGAAAAGCTCGCAGAGTGTCGTATTTTGCAATACTTTGAAAAAGATACGAGATGGCTTCTTCACGTTTTTCATGTTCTTCACATGACAACATCGTTAGACAACAAAGACATTGAAACTCTTTCAAGTTGTTTCCAATATCTCTGCTTAAAAGGAGAGCCTTCTTGAAGTATTCTTTGGTTATTTCATATTTACCAAGCGACTGAAAACACAATCCTAAATTCATAAGACTGGCCAATGTTCCTTCTTTATCGCTAGTTTCCATTTGAATTGCAAGGGCATTATTGTGATATTCTTGAGCCTTATCATGACAACCACACTGAAGGGAAATTAGCCCAAGGTGTTCGTAATTTGCTGCTACTCCTCTTCGGTCACAAGTTTCCAATCTAATGGCTAGTGCTTTCTCCAAATACTCGTCAGCTTTTCGGTATTTACCGAGCACAATGAAGAGATTTCCTAAGTTTCCATAAATGGTTGCCTCTTCTTTTCTATTGCCCACACTCTTCCACATTCTTAGTGCTTTCTCGTAATGTTCTTGAGCCTTGTCATATTCACCGAGCGTCGAGAACAATGTCCCGAAGTTGTTGTGGTTTTTAGCTTGTCCATTCCACTCGCCAATTTCTGTTGTGATAGCAAGTGCTCTCTCATAATATTCTCGGGCCTTTTCATATCTGCCAACTAACTCGAACAGTTTTCCAAGGTTTCCGTAGCTTGCTGCTTCTCCATTTCTGTCGCCAATTTCTATTCTGATGGCAAGTGCTTTCTCTTGATATTCTCGGGCCTGGTCATATTTACCAAGGTCTTGGAACAATGTTCCCAGGTTTCCGTAACTTGTTGCCACTCCATTTCTATGGCCAATATCTAATCGGATAGCAAGTGCTTTTTCCTGATATTCTCGGGCCTTGTCATATTTACCAAGGGCTCTGAACAATGTACCGAGGTTTCCGCAGACTATTGCTTCTCTATCCCTGTCGCCCACTTCTATTCCAATGGCGAGTGCTTTCTCTTGATATATTCGGGCCTTGTCGCACTGACCCAGTGATTGAGACAATGTTCCTAGGTTTCCGTAGCTTGTTGCTTCTCCATTTCTGTCACCAATTTCCATTGTGATAGCAAGGGCTTTCTCCTGATATTCTCGGGCCTTGCCATATTTACCAAGGGCTTCAAACAATGTTCCAAGATTTCCGTAACTTGTTGCTTCTCCGTGCCTGTCTCCAATTTCTATTTTAATGGCGAGAGCTTTCTCCTGATATACTTGGGCCTTGTCGCATTGACCCAGTGATTGAAAGAATATACCCAGGTTTCCGTAGCTTGATGCTTCTCCATTTCTGTCGCCAATTTCTATTGTGATAGCAAGTGCTTTCTCCTGATATTCTCGGGCCTTGTCATATTTACTAAGCGACTGGAACAATATTCCTAGGTTTCCGTAGCTTTTTGCCTCTCCATTTCTGTCGCCAATTTCTAATCTGATGGCAAGTGCTTTCTCCTGATATTCTCGGGCGTTGTTATATTTACCAAGGGCTTGGAATAACGTTCCGAGGTTTCCGTAGATTGTTGCTTCTCCTTGTCTGTTGCCAACTTCTATTGTAATAGCGAGCGCTTTCTCGTGATATTCTCGGGCCTTGTCACATTTCCCAAGCAAGTAGAACAATGTTCCGAGATTTCCCAAGCTTGTTGCTTCTCCATTTCTGTCTCCAATGTCTAAGTTGATAGCAAGTGCTTTCTCCTGATATTCTCGAGCCTTGTCATATTTAGCAAGCAATTGGAACAATATTCCAAGGTTTCCGTAGCTTTTTGCCTCTCCCTTTCTGTCGCCAATTTCTATTGTGATAGCAAGCGCTTTCTCCTGATATTCTCGGGCGTTGCTATATTTACCAAGGGCTTCAAACAACGTTCCGAGGTTTCCGTAGACTGTTGCTTCTCCTTGTCTGTCGCCAAGTTCTAGTGTAATAGCGAGCGCTTTCTCGTGATATTCTCGGGCTTTCTCACATTTACCATGCAAGTAGAACAATATTCCGAGAATTCCTAAGATTGTTGCCTCCCTATTTCTGTCTCCAATCTCTAATTTGATAGCAAGTGCTTTCTCTAGATGTTCTCGATCTTGGTCATATTTCCCTTGCGACTGGAGCAATATTCCAAGGTATTCGTGGCATGTTGCTTCTCCTTTTCTGTCGCCAATTTCTCTTCTAATAGCCAGTGCTTTCTCTAGATGTTCCCTGGCTTGGTCATATTTCCCTTGCGATTGGAACAATATTCCAAGGTCTTCGTAACTTGTTGCTGCTCCTTTTCTATCGTCAATTTCTTGTCTAATAGCGAGCGCTTTCTCCTGACATTCTCGGGCCTCGATATTTTTGTCAATTGAATAGAACAATATTCCGAGTTTTCCATAGTTGGTTGCTTCTCCCTTTTTGTCGCCAATTTCTCTTCTAAAAGCAAGTGCTTTCTCCAGATGTTCTCGGGCTTGGTCATATTTCCCTTGCGATTGGAACAATATTCCAAGGTCTTCGTAACATATTGCTTCTCCTTTTCTGTCGCCAATTTCTTTTCTAATAGTCAGTGCTTTCTCCTGACATTCTCGGGCCTCCTTATATTTTTCAATTGAGTAGGACAATATTCCGAGTTTTCTGTAGCTTGTTGCTTCTCCCTTTTTGTCGCCAATTTCTCTTCTAATGGCAATTGCTTTCTCTTGACATTCTCGGGCCTTGTCATATTTACCAAGCGACTGGAACGTTGTTCCGAGGTTTTCGTAGCTTGTTGCTTCTCCTTTTCTGTCTTTAATTGCTCTTCTAATGGCAAGTGCTTTCTCTTGATATTCTCGGGCCTTGTCATATTTACCAAGCGATTGGAACAATGTTCCGAGGTTTCCGCAGCTTATTGCTTCTCCATACCTGTCGCAGATGTCCATGGAAAGAGCAAGCCCTTTCTCCAGATATGATTTACACTGGTCATATTCTTCTATGGAATGAAGTAGTGTTCCCATTTCTTCATAACAAAGCCATACTATTTGTGTGTTGTCATTCGTCTTCATAATTTTTATTGCTGACTCATAAAATTTTCTGGCCTCAAGTAAGTTATTTTGTGCCCGAAGTGTACGTGCCAGTCGTAAATTTAGCCATCCTTTATTGACGGTGTCATCAGAGGTCTGGTTCTGGGAAAGAAGTAGTTTCCTCAAGTATTTTTCGGCAATTGTGTGCTCATGCAAAGCTTCGTACGAATTGATCATAACCATGTAGATAGTATGGAAAAGTAAGTTGGCTAATTGAGTGTCTTTAATCAGCACTCGACTGTTTAGTACAATCAGACATTCCTGGCATAGCTCGATGGCTTTCATCACACGACCAGTGTTACGAAGGAAAACAGCGACCATGTAAACAATACAGACGGCTTTCGCAATATCTATTGTCCTGCTCATC